AGAAGAATCCAGAAGGTTCCAGGCTCAGGCAGGGGGGGGGGGGGGGGCAGGATCTGGGATCCAGAGGGGGCAGATCCAGAAGGTTCCAGGATCCAGAAAGATCTGGAATCCAGAAGGTTCCGGGATCCAGAAGGATCCAAGATCCAGAAGGGTTCAGGATCCAGAAGGTTCCAGGATCCAAGAGGATCCAGGATCCAGAAGGTTCCAGACTTGGGCAGGATCGGGGGGGGGGGGGGGGCAGGATCTGGTCTCCAGAAGGTCCCGGATCCCTGGGGATCCCTGGAATCTTTGCCCGGTTTCCCAGCAGCCCTCGGGGGTTTTCAGCCGCCTCGGGGCCACCCCCGACCCCCCCGAGCCCCCCCTGGCCCCCCCCAGGGAGGAGGAGGAGGAGGAGGAGGAGGAAGATGAAGAACCCCAGGAAGGGCCCCCCCTGCCCTACGTGGGGGTCCTGAAGAGGAAATCCCGGGAATGCGGCGGCTCCGGAGCCCCCCCCGACCCCGGGGGATCCCCCAACCCCCCCCATCCCGAGGCCCAGGACGGGGCCGTTTCCAGCTCCGGGATCCCGGAATTCCGGGGGGGCCGCAGCGTCTTCCGCAGGCTGGGCAGGAAGCAGGAGTGAGCCCCAGGGGGGGGATTCCCGGGATTCCAGGGGGATTCCGGAGGGAATCGGGGCTCGGAGCGACTGGAAAAGGGGGGATCCAACTTGGGACGGGCTCTGGAGGCCCCTGGGAAGGAGAAATCCCACGGGAAAAGTGGGAATGCTGCTCGGCTTCGGCTGCTGGTGCCTTGGGAAAGGGGAAAATCCCACGGGAAAAGCGGGAATTCTGCTCGGCTTTGGCTCCTGACGCCTTGGGAAAGGGGGAATCCAACTTGGGACAGACTCCAGAGCCCCCTGGGAAAAGTGGGAGTCCCTTGGAAAAGCGGGAATTCTGCCCGGCTTCGGCTCCTGATGCTTCAGGAAAGGGGAAAATCCCACGGGAAAAGTGGGAATTCTGCTCGGTTTCGACTTTTGATCCCACTGGAAAAGAGGGAATCCTGCTTGGCTTCAACTCCTGGTGCCTTGGGAAAGGGGAAATCCCACGGGAAAAGCCCGGGAAAAGTGGGAATTCTGCTCGGCTTTGGATCCTGACGTCTCGGGAAAGGGGAAAATCCCAAAGGAAAAGCGGGAATTCTGCTCGGTTTTGATTCCTGGTGCTTTGGGAAAGGGGAAAATCCCAAAGGAAAAGCGGGAATTTTGCTCAGTTTTGACTTTTGATGCCTCGGGAAAGGGGAAATCCCAAAGGAAAAGCAGGAATTCTGCTTGGCTTCGACTCCTGATGCCTCGGGAAAGGGGAAAATCCCACGGGAAAAGTGGGAATTCTGCTCAGTTTGGACTCCCAATGCCTCGGGAAAGGGGAAATCCTAAAGGAATTGAGGCCTGAAAAGCGGGAATCCGGCTTGGAATCAGCGTTTGGAGCCCTTGGAGAGGAGGAATCCCCTGGGAATTCAGTTGGAATCCCACCAATCCCACGGGAAAAGCCCTTTGCCAGCGGATCCCAGTTCGGGATCGAGGCCAAACAAGCCCCAAAACCTCCTTTTTTCCCCCCAAAATCCCCTTTTCCGAGGTTTTTCCCGGAGTTTGGGAAAACCCAGACCCGGAAAACTCCCCTGGGGTTTGTTTTATTCCCGATTTTTCTCCTTCCACTTAAAAAAAACCCCTTGGGGGGAACCAGCAGCTTCTGGGATTTGGGAGCAGCTTCCCAAAAAACCCAAATCCCCCAAATTTTTTGCCAAAGCCACGGCGGGTGCTGGGGAAAAAAACCCCAATATTGCCTTAATTCCCCTGGATTTGGGTTCCACCCCCTCCCCAATCCCGGGAATCCCCCAAATTCTGGATTTTTTTTCCCTCAGAATTCCCGATTTCCCCCAAATTTTTTCCTCTTTTCCCCCAAAACGCCTTTGGGGGGGGGGTTTTTTTTTTTTTTTTTCCCAATTTTGGGTCTTTTTGCCCAAATTTGTGGCTTTTCCCCCCAAAATCCCAGGATGGCTTCAGGTGGATTTTTTTCCCGTTTTTTTTTTTCCCGATTTTGGGTCTTTTTACCCAAATTTGTGGCTTTTCCCCCCAAAATCCCGGGATGGCTTCGGGTGGATTTTTTTCCCGTTTTTTTTTTCCCGTTTTTGGGTTTTTTCCCTTTTTTTTGTGTGGTTTGTTTGATTTTTTTTTCGCTTCCGCGCGGGAGCTTTTTTTGCCGCAATAAAAGAAGCGCGAAAACGGTGGTTTTTTTCCTTCTGGCTGTTAATAAAAAAACGTATTTATGCAAATATATTCAAATTTATGCAAATGAGCGTCTTAATTAAGCGGGTTACGAAGTGGTGGCGCCCCCTGGCGTCCGAGGGGGCTATTTTGCATAGCCACGCCTCCTAATTACATATTCATAGCCTATTTTGCGTGACCACGCCTCCTACTTGCATATTAATGCCGTAGTTTGCGTATCCACGCCTATTGGGTGATATTGTTGTGATTTGCATAACCCCGCCCCTCTGTTTGCATAACCACGCCCCTTTGGCCACGCCCCCCTCGCTCCCTCACGGTGCCCCC